GGGGGAGGTGAGGGCGCGGCGCGGTGGGGAACAAAGGGCGGGAGCCAAACTAGGAGCCATATCAACAGGAGCAAAAGCGCGGCAGCGCCCAGGGACGAAGGAGGGGAGCCAAATTAGGGAGGCGGCAGGCAGGCGGGGGTCGAGTCGTGACTCTCAAGGCTGAGGCGAGGTTGCGGGGGACAAAGCGGGGGACTTTCTTTTGTGGGGGGGAGGGGGGCGCACCATTTGCCAGACGACGTTTTGGTGGGCGTCATCGCTGAGGGCCGGGTCCTTGAATTTACGGAAGAGTCCCTTGAGGGGTTGAGAAGGGGTTGGCGAGGGCTTGGAAAGGCAGGGCGGGGGGCACGGGTACGGCCCATCCGCCCCGGGGCGGGACTGCGCGCTGGGCGCAGTGCTGCCGCAGCGCGCTGGTGCGGGGCGAGGGCGGCTCTGCAAGCACGAAAGCTGTCACTGCTGACGGTTACTGTCAGCGTTTTTCCTGCTCCCAGGCTCGAGCCTAGGGGGGTAGCCCAGGTGGAGCAGTGGGGCAGCGCGATAAGTCTGGCGCCCAGCCGTAATCGCATCTATCTGCTGGGTGTAAACCCAAGCAGGCTTCCCGCCCACCTTTATGTGGTCGTGGTCATTGGCCAGCTGCGGTGCAATGTGATCATGAATTAAGGCTGGTTTAGGGCGATCAGACGAAGACGGCTGGCTCGGACCACCAAGCTGTCGGTGCGACTCCGCCGCCACACGCGCGCACAGCGTCCGAGCGTCCGGTGCGCGCTCGCCTGCACGATCACGCAGTGCTCGTCCTCTTCGATGACGTCGTCGACCTTGTCGTCTGCCATTATCACGGGCTCGCCTCTCGCAGGGCAACGCCGGGATGTCGGAGCGATCTGTTGTGCTGCGACGGGACTACCCTTTGTATGTGATGTATGTTGTAATTCAGTGCTGTTACAAATGTTTGGAGTGGGCCCAAGCTCGCTTGCTTATTGTGCTCCGTGCGTGCTGACCTGGATTGTGAATGGGTTCCGTTCAGCTGCCGTTGAGGAGAAATGCCAGTATGCAATGTTGCTGTACATCGAAGAACTTGATATGCACGCGATTTTCAATAGCTATGTCTGCACAGCGAGGTAGCAGCGTGTTGCCACCGCAGGCACCGCCACCTGCGCCCCTTGGACACGCTCCCAGGACGGCGCGCTGCGCATGACAAGGCCCAGCACGTGCGCCAGTTGCCGCCGGTTGAGGCCCTCTAGCACCTCTGCGCCGCCAGGTGTGTTCGCCTGTGCTGCCATGAGCCTGCACACCTGCAACGCATGGGGGTTTCAGCAGAATTTGTTCAAGACAGGGTCAAACAATGGTCAAACTTTTAGATCCACACAAGCGGGGTCGGGAAGCCGAGCTTGGGAGGAGCCATGCAGACCAACTGGACTGGGCCACGGCGCTGCATGCGGTTGCAGAGCCAATCCCCGTCAGTCGCGCCTGCAACCCACAAAAAGCAGCAAGCAGGGCCTGCACTGCAGTCTCGCGTATGCACCTGCGGCGTCGGCAGCAGGTGCTCAATCTCGGTGGCACACGCGTCGAACAGCGCCTCGCTGGCGCTCCTGGCCGCCTCAAGCAGGTCTACCAGCACCGACCCGTACCTGCAACACAGCACAAGCAGTGGTAGGGAAATTAACTTGATTAGTACAGCATCCCGTGCAAACTCCCGGTTGCAAAAATCAATGCAGCACAAAAATAAGTCTGTCGGTGCTGGCGCAGCTATTTAGTGTGGCTGGCCAGCCTTATGCACATCTGTGCGTGTGCAGTTGGTGCTATGTCTCTGCCCACCTGCACGCCAACACGGACGCCACTGCTGGCGTGGCCGCGCCGCCATCCCCGGCCAGCAGGCACAGCAGACGCAGGAAGATCCGCCGCAGCAGCGCGTGGAGGCTGGTGGCAGGCACCTGTACAGCGAAGTGCGTGCAAGACAGCCGTCAAGATAGACTCCAGTCAGTGGTTCAAAAACACAGACGAGAACTGACATCAGCAATGCGCATGTGCACGCACATGGGGCACACACTGCATACGAAATCAGTTCCTTGCAACCGGCCTGTGACCAGGTTGCGTTTGCTGCAGGTTGCGCTGCGTCTCACCCTCTGAAGCACGCCAACTAGGTCCGCCGCTTCTCGCTGTAGCCCTACGGCGCGGGCGTGCGCTGCCAGCGACATCAACCCGTGCAGGCAGCCGACCACAGCATCCATAAGGCTGTTGATGCCATCATCATCCCCGCCAGCACCCTGAGGCTGTTGCTGCTGCTGCTGCTGCTGCTGCTGCTGCTGCTGCTGCTGCTGCTGCTGCTGCTGCTGCTGCTGCTGCTGCTGCTGCTGCTGCTGCTGCTGCTGCTGCTGCTCCTGTTGCTGCTGCTGTTGCCTGCAGTGCTGCGACTCCCGTCTGCACCACCAAAGCATGTCTTCTGTGCTTGAAGGGCCACCCGTGCCAGGCTCATTTAAGGCGCCGGCACCTGGAAGGCAGAGGGTCAGCAGGCAGGCGAGCAGCTGCCGGGTAGCCGCCGCAAAGGTCCAGCCGGAGTACCTGGGGCCGCAGCTGTCGCAAGTGGAAGACAGGCGTGCGTCTGACAGCCACCGCAAGCGATTCGCGCAGCCCTCGCTGTACTGAAGCTGCATTTGCAGCCACGACCTTGGTTTGTGGTTGAGGGAGTGAGCATGATCGGAGTATATGATACCACAGGTGACATTTGGCGCGTGAGCTGGATTATGTGTCTCACAAATAAGCAACCAGTAATTGCAAGCGCCGTGCATGCCAGGAGGTGCCAGTAAGGCTGGCCCCTCCTGGCTCACGCAGTTGTGTGCTGATCAACCCCGCTCACAGCAGCAGCAGAGACTTGCGCGCCGCCGCTGCAGCGAAGAGTCGCGCTGCGACGCGCTCCCAAGACAGCAGCCCCCGGGGCCGCCCTTTCCGCGGCGGCCGGGTGCCGCAGCAGCTGCTGCCATCGCTGCTGCTGCCTTCAGCCTCGCTGCTTGCAGGCTCGCCGCCCTTGTAAGAAGCCGGTGTTTGCTGCCCTTGCTGCTGCTGGTATGAATTCTGCTGCGATGCCTTTGCAATGAAAAGGTATTGACCTTGCAGCCCAGCAAGTGGGGTTAGGTAAAGGGGATCCGCGTGATATGTCTCCCCGCAGGGCAGCCTCGCCCCTCCTGTAACGCAGCCGCCTGGCAGCTGCTGCGGACGGCGCCAGCCCCGCGTGAGGGCCGCGGCGCCCTCGACGGCCGTCCTGCAGGGCGAAAGAACACAGGCATCACATTGCATGTACGACAGCGGGCACGTTTCGTGTTGGGAGTCTTGGAGACACCTACCTCGCACCAATAACTGCGCCGCTGACGACTACTGCCAATACTGTGGTGAACCAGCAACATACCCACGTGACCTCTCGTCCCTACTCACGTGATATCGACTGGCGAGCCGAGCAGCCCTAGCCGTTGCAGCACGCGCCGGCGCCGGGGCCACCGCACCCTCGTCCCGCCCGCCGCCGCAGCCACCTGTAGGCCCGCCGCCGCGCCTGCCGCTGCAGCGCCGGCCCCGTGCAGCGCGCGGAGCGCGCCCCAACTGTGCAGGCGCGCGGTGGCGAACGCGAGGACGTCTGGCGATGTGAAGAACAGCCTGTGCAGCTCTGAAACCTTATCAGCTGGCGCGAATGCAATCCCCAACATGAGTCCTTGCATGGTCGCGTCGTCGCCTCCAAGCAGCGAGGCTGGACGCAGGAGGCTATCGACGCGCAAGCGGAACGCCTCCCGCGCCTCGGCGACGGAGCCGCGCGAATGCGCGCGCAGGGAGGCGCGCACGTCGAGGCGCAGCGCTTCTTGCTGTTTGTGGCGGCCATCGGCGCACGGGTTGCTGTGGGCGACCGCATGACCAGATCTGCTGCGCGGCTGCAGGAAAGAGAGGAGGCCAGCAGCAATGCTGCGGCGCCGGGGGCTGCATGCTGACGCAGCCTGCTCGCGTCCCCCAGTGCCGCCTTCGCTGACCTGGCGCTTGAATGGGTGCGCACGCGCCCCGCCGATCTCGCGCGCGCTCTGGGCGCCACGTTGCTTCACATGTGGTTGCGCCCGCCTGTCCCCGCCGGCGTCGCAGCCCCCGCTGGACTGAGCCACCGGTTCCAGGTCTAGCCGCGGCACGCCGACCGCTGCCCCGCTGCAGTTGTCCGGCCTGCCTCCAGCGCCGCCGCCGCCGCCGGCTCCTTCCTCTAGATGGTAAGGGCCGGCCGGGCTGCTGCGTAGTAGGGTCCTGACGGGGTGAAACCCCGTAGCATCAGTCAGGGCCACGACATCGGCAGCTGCCGCCGCGCTGTCCTCCCACTCCCATCTGCTGCGGTCTGCGCTCACGTGGCTCGTTGGGTCGGCCCTGGACGGACAGGGGGTGGATGCGTGGAAGTGGATAGTTTGTGGTGGAATCAGCAGGTGCTGGGGGCGGGCCGGCATGCTCGGCTGCACAACGCGCAGGCGGCTTGCATTGCCGACACACGCACGAGCTGCTGTTGCCAGCAGCAGCAGCAGCAGCAGCAGCAGCAGCAGCAGCAGCAGCAGCAGCAGCAGCAGCAGCACTCAGCACTGCCAGGTGCCTGCTGTGGCAGCGCCGGGTGTGTTGGAAAGGGGCGTGCCAATCACTGTCGCCCATAGGAGACCTGAACAGCGGCCGCGTGCCAGTTTACCCTCCCCATGTAAAGGCATGGCCGATTGTTCAGGCGACCTGTTGTGATGCAGCGCTGCGCCGGCCCCTTCAGCATAAGCTAGCTGGGCGCTCACGCGCACCTTCCAGGAATGTTGAAAAATCTCAACACGTCCTCCGGCCGCAGCGCGGCTGCCAATGGCGCACCGGCAGAGCCGGGCCTGCCTGGATCTGCTGCTGCGCCCTCAAAACCGCTGCCGCCACCCTGCTGTGTGCCAGCAGCGACAGCCGGATGCCCGATTCCGTTTCTCCAGTCAGGAGGCCGCCGCAGCGGTGATGCAAGGCGGCCGCCACCGCTGCCAACGTCCCTGCCGCCATCGCGCGCCGGCACGGGCGGCGCTGACCAAATCGGCTGGCCCGGCGCTGCAGAAAGTGCGAGGGCCGCGCGGATGTGGGCGCCGATCCAGGCGGCCTGGATGTGGAAAAACAGGGCAGACTCCCTCTCAACCGTCAGCAGCCTCAGCACGTCGCCCTCTGACCAGACCAGCTGATCTGCCCGTGCTTTGCTGCCGCCGGCCGCGCCCCTGTTCGGCCAGCCGCTGCCAGCGTCCCAATTTCCGCCAGCGTCGGCTGCGGCAGGTGGCTGCTGCCTGCGGCTTTGGAGCTCTGCGGCCTGCCGTGCTGCGCTCTCCTGGTTGTTCGCGGTGCGGGGCAACAGGCGGCCCAGCCAACCACCCTTGCCGCCAAGCTGCTGATTTTGTTGGTGAAGCTGCTGCTGCTGCCGCTGCTGCCGCCGCCGCTGCTGCTGCTGCTGCTGCTCCTGCTGCTGCTGCTGCTGCTGCTGCTGCTGCTGCTGCTGCTGCTGCTGCTGCTGCTGCTGCGCCCCCTGCCGGTCAACGATGTGCTGTGAGCCACTGCCGCCACGTTCTCTTGCGGCATCCCACTCCAGCGCGCACCCGCCCGCTCCAAAGGCGCCAAGCACCTTGGCCCATCGGGCCTCGCTACCAGCCGTGTCTGCCGCTGCGGCACCTGCCATTGCCACTACTCCTGCTGCTCCTCCTGAGCCTGCTGCTCCTTCTGCTCGCGCTGCTGCTGACGGTGATGACGCGCTGCGAGTCTCCTGGGGCACGACTGTTATCACGCTTGACTGCACATTCCCTCGCTCATCGTTCACGAATTCGCTCCCCTCTTGTTGTCGCTCGGAGACAAAAGCAACTTGCAGCAGCGGGACCTCCGTCGCAGCGGAATGGCGGCCGCCGCGGCCAGCGTCCATAGGCAGGACCAACAGAGCCCAGTCAGTGACTGCGACAAGGTAGAACTGCTTTGGGGCCAATGCAGGCCCCCGGGCAGATAGTGGTCGCGGCCGGAAGGGCTCCAAGAGTGCACAGCACTCCTGATATCGGAGCGCCGCGCGCGCAGCGTGCGGCAGGCGGCTGAGCAGCGCGCCCGCTTGGCCACGCAGAAACTCATGCTTTGGTGTTTCGTGAGGGCCGAGCATGGGGCCCAAGCACGTTGTGCAAGGACAAAACCGCCGACTGCAAACTATAGGGGGACCTATTCGCGAGAAGTATGTATAGATTCAAGAGTAATATGCACAGATTCTACTTTGACTCAGCAAAGTCTTTCACGACAGAGATCACAGCAGGCCAGACACGTGAAGTCAACGATGCAATCGCACTGATACGCATTGCACGCAGCTACACATCAAAACGGGCGCTTGCTCTCCTGTTGCCGCTCTCTGTTAGCCGCTTCGACGCCGCCCTGTTGCTTTCCCGGCGCGTGCGCATGGCAGCGACGCTGAGCGTGAGCAGCAGAAGAGTGGCGCCGTATGGAGTCGACGATCACGCCGCAAGTCAGCGACAACTTAGACGACCTGGAAGTAATGGAAGCATATCATATGCACGTGCGATCATCCGACAGGTGAGCAGGCGTTTGCGCCATCCACCGTGGACGCCTTGCTGCAGCAGCATGCCGCTTGGAGCCGCGTTGCGCACTGCGCTTGACAAGGAAAACCTCACTCTGAAACGCACACATTAAATTTTGGTAATTCCCTCTGCAGCGCGTCCAGCCAGCTGAAGCGCCTCGTCACTGCCCACCAGGCCGCCGCCGCGCGGCTGGCGGCCGGGGAGCTGCGGCTGCGGCGGGCGCGGGCCGAGGGTGTGCGCCAGATCTCTTCGCACCTGAGGGAACTCAAGGATGATCTGGAGGCGTGGTGGGTTTCGTAGATTGCCCATGTTATCTATGCATGCTGAATGCATGGCACATGCATGAGTCGAGTTTGATGCCAGCGAACGCGCAACAGGTCGAGGGGGTTGACGCACGCACGCACGCACGCACGCACGCACGCACGCATGCACGCATGCACACACACACACACACACACACGCACACAAACATGCCATCGACCCCACCAGCGCCCTGAGGGCGGTGAAGGAGCTGGACGAAGAAATGGATGAGCTGCGCCTGCCCCTGGCCGCCGAGGCTCGTGCACTCGCTGCATCGGCCTCGCGCCTCGAGGCGGCCGCCGACGCCCGCCGACTCGGCGTCCGGGAGACGCCGGAGGAGTCTGTGGCCGCTTTCGCGGACTCGTCACGGCGCATCCAGGCCGCGCTGCGAGCGGGCGGGGCAGCGGTCACGGCAGCGGCCGCGCACGCGCGGGAGGGTGCGGCCGCGGGTGTGGGGCAGCAGCACAGGCGGCGGCCCCGGGCTGTGCAGTGGTTTGGGTCGCTGAGGGTCACGGCTCACGCGGCCAGCAGCATGCAGCGGACGTCGTGTCACAGGACGCGCGACAGCAGCCCCCTGCCTGGTCAAAGTAGAGTCAAGGCTGCTGCAGCCAGCGAAGCGGACGAGGCGGGCCCCGTGCGCGCCGCCGTGGCGCGGCCGCAGCCGTGCAGTGCGCGCAGTCAGCGTGGGGCGGCCGCCTCGAAGGCCCATCTGGTGGAGGAAAGACAGTTAACCGACACAGCAATCGCGTTTGCTCGTGCGCGGCAGGACGAGCCGCAGGTGTGCTTAGCCAAGGTCCCGCCACGCGCGACGTTTGCAGCCTCCAGTGGCCAGTCGCGCGAGAGCAGCATCGCCGCAGCGGGCAGGCCCGCGGCTGGCACGGGGGACGACTGGGAGGCGTGCGGCCCGGCATGTTCCCGAAGTGACAGCGGCAGCGACGATGTGGGCAGCTGGATTTTGAGTGGTGGCTGCAGCAGTGCCGGCTGCCTAACCTCGTCCAACCTTCAACGTCAGGCGGGCGAGCGCGTGCGTGCCACCATCAAACACGGGGTGAGGGGGACGCGTGCGCGGGCACTAGCGGACGCTTACATGCAGCTGCGCGCGGCGAGGGCGAGCCCCGCCAGGGCTGCGTCTGGCGGCGGGTGCTGGCGGGCCGGCGCTGGGTGCTGTGGGCGGGCCGAGGCTGCGTCGGGCAGGAGAGCCGGGGCCGCCGCAGGGCACGGCCACGGCGACTGAAGGCGGCGAGCTGTTTCTGGGATGCCGGAGGCAGACGCGCCCTGTTCCCACAGGACAGCAGCAGCTGCGTGCAGGGAGCGCTGATTGCTGCGAATGGCACTCGCGTCTAGGCGTGAGGCAGGCAAAGACTATACTGCAAGCAACGTTGCTCGTGCCACCCTGCCATGCGCGCACCATGTAACAGTTTTGGCTCTTGGTCGCAACCGCCAATGAGAAATGCTCCACTGGCTGTGAACGGCATGAGGTGCTTGAGATGAGCCGACTTTTGCACGTGGCACACGCTAAGCAGGCACGGGTATGCACCCGTTCTTAAGAACCGCTGCATGTGCAGCGCTGCCACCGCCAGTGAGGCACAGTCAAAGCGCAAGCCTTCATGGGCACAAAGGCGGGGTGAGGTCGTACGTTTAGTGCCCAGATCAACTCAGGACATGCGCAGCAGGTGCGCATCGACACATTTTGCACACGCGCAAGTCATGGGATTTGTATGCAACCCCTTGTAAAGCCCGCCAAGCCCAATCCCCATGCCAAGTCCATGTCTATTCAACCAGTCATGGTGGTCAATGCGTTGCAACAACTTCAGAGCTGTCATGACCGGTTGAAATGTCACCATTCAAAAGCGGGCAGTTTCCACGAGCACGCCCTGCACTTCCAGGGATCGCGCTCGGTCACATGCCAAAGCATGCTCGGCCCGCCCGCCGAGCAGCTGTCGGCAGACAGGTCGGCCACCTCCGCTGTGCGCGTCATGTCGCCTTCCGTTGCCGGCCCCCATGAAAACTCTACAGCCTTGAGGCCGAGGTGCGCCGCCAGCACGCACAGCAGAGCGTGAGGCGGCAGCGGCATGTCCCGGAACTCCAGGGTGCGCAAGGATGTCGTCCCGCGGGCAAACCGCAGGAAAGGCGCGAGCTCCCAGGAGGTTGGGTAAGCACTAGGCAAAGTGGAGAGTGGCACCATCAGCACAAGGGACGCCAGCCGGGGCAGGTGCGCGGCAGCTTCCAGCGCCAGAGAGACCCGCGCAGGCTGGCTGTCGTCGTCGTGCATGGTGGCCGTCGCTGGCGCGAGAGTCAAGCTCACGGCCGTCGTCACGCGTGCCAGCCAAGCAAGGGACGCGGGGTCGTCCACGTCTACGGCAACCCCGAGCTGCTCCAGCCGCGTCATCGCGGCGATCGCGTCCCGGGCCAGGGGCGTGATCCACCCCACTTCCAAGCGCTCCAGGGCCAGCGACCGCAGGCCCGTGAGGCCGGACAGCAGGGACGCGATGTCGAGCCGCGCGCCGCCGTCGTCGCCATCAGCGTCGTCGTCGCTGGGGACGTCCAAGGCCGCCACAATCGCCAGGTGCTCCAGGGCTGGGAAGCGGGGTTTCAAATGGACCGAGACAAAGCCCTCGCATACCTGGATGGACAGGTGCGTCACGTTCTGGAAGGCATGCGTGACTGGCACGCCCCACGCACCCCGCCCTGACGTTGCGCTGCAGAAAGCCAGCCGCTGCAGCCGAGGCGCGGCAAGGGCTAGCTTGTCGGCGGTCGCGGGGGACAAGTCCATATTTGTCAGCTCCTCTAAGCTCAGCTCGGCCTGGGCCAGGTTGGCGCCGAGCTTCCATGTGCCCCTGGACCGCGCCAGCCACAGCCGGGTCAGCGACGTGAGCTCCAGCAGGCACGGGTCCTGCCACTGCTCGTCGATGCAGTCGGCGACGAGCTCGGACAGGCAAGGCAGACGCGACAGGGAAGCGTGCGTCCTATGATTGATCACCAGGTTGGGCGCGAAGACACTCTGCAGGCGGTGGCCGAGCACGCAGGCGGAAAGGATGCCGATCGCACGGGCGGCTGCGTCCGCGTCGTCTGCGGCGTTTTCTGGGTAACGGCTGCCGCCTGCGACGAGGTGAGTCAGGTTTGGCAGGCGCTCCAGGATGTTGTGCTGCAGGTACGGCCAGTGCAGGCCGCCCTGGATCTCAAGGTGCGTGATCTGCTGCAACAGGCGCTCTGGCGGGCCGGCGCCGCGAACCACCCCGCCGCCTGCGGCCGCGTCGGCCGCGGGGTGGGCTGGATCGTCGTCGCCTGACATGGAGTTGCGTTGACGTGCCCTTGGAATGACATCATCCAGCAGGTGATGCAGCTGCACCACTGTGTCCCATGCAGAGCGTGACTCCTGCTGCTGTTGCTGCTGCTCCTGCCGCTTCTGCCGACTCATTTGCCAGCCCGCCAACCAGGCCCCAAGGCCCCACGGCTGCTGCTGCTGCTGCTGCTGCTGCTGCTGCTGCTGCTGCTGCTGCTGCTTTGGAGGCCTGACACACCAACCCTCAAACGCCAGGGTCGTGACGGCGGGGAAGCGCGACCAGTCGGGCCCGCAGGCGGCCAGGTTATGTGGCGAGAGCACCAGCCGTGTCGCCAGCTCCCGGCGCGCCGCCTTGTCAAACGCGCGGCTCGCCAGCCTTGCGGCCTGGATGCAACCCTGCGCTGCGCGACAGCGCTGCGCCAGAGTGCACGGGAGGGTGCACCTGCAGTTGCCATCGTCATCCCCGTCTGCTGGCAGCAGGTGCCGCAGCACCCGGCCCAGCAGTTCACAGCCCAGCGCATCAACCAGCATGTTTGAGCCTGGTGCATGTCGGTGAGGCAGGCATTGAAGTGGTGTATCGGCCACAGCATGTGGGCTGGCATGGGTTTGTGCTTGAACAGCCCATGGGAGCACGAGTTGAACCCGACACTGCCTGCGCAGCTGCGCTGCAGCGGTCAAGCGCACACGTACAGCGCCGAACACCCGCTGCGGTGAGAGACGTCCTGCCATCACAAGCATGACATCTCAGACGTATATAAATACGTCACCTCACCGCTCACAAAGCGCTAAGAATATGGCTCGGTCCACCCGCTCGGGCAGAGGAGTCTGATACAATCTTTCAAGGCCTCGGCGCGTCGCTGTCACCGTAGACAGTACAGATTTTGGCATTGCAAGACCCTACACATGAATATCAAGATGAGTGACCGCGCTGCTGCGCGATGCACGCGGCCCCCCGCTGACCGCCAGCAGCCATTGTGGACCACCAAATCCCAATCACGATCGCTGCTAGACACTCACAGGCCACTGAAAACATGCCCGCCAACCACCAACCGTAGCTGCAACCTTCAACCAGGCAGGTTAATTCAAGCGGCGGGTGGGGGGGAGAGAGAGTAAGCGCCGGCGCGGGGCAGGTGGCCGGCCGCCAGGCAGCACACAGGCAGCCTGATATACCATGCGCAACCCCTCCATCTCGCCGTTATGCCACACAAGCATTCAAAACCCCTGCCAGCCCCTCTTACCACCTCCAACCCCCGGTCGCCCGATGTGACACACAGGCTCCTCCGCCGACCTGTGATCCTCCGTGCACAGGTTACATCTAGCAGGCCACGCAGGAGGGGGATGCATGGTGAAGTTCTTTGCAGCAACAGATGTGAAGAAGCGGAAGTCGAGCGGTTAGACCTGCCGACCGATGCCTCAGCAGGCGCGGGGGGAGGGGCCACTCTGCGCACCGATCGCGCCCCTTTGCCCGTGCACCAGTGTAGAGATGAATTGAGTTGACAAAGCGGCAGGTACAAGGGCAGAAAGAAGCGGTTCTGGGCTGGGGGAGGTGGCCGCCGCCCCGTGTGGCGACGAATAAAGGAATTGGGCAAGCCCTATGGGGTCAGCTCGGCCGCGCAGTCAATTGGTAGTCATAGCCCCGTCATCAATACCAAATCATGACACCCTATTCCAGCTGCAGCTCTGAAGCACAGCGCGCGCGAACGCCTCAGCTGGACACATCTGGAACGGCGGGCGCACTTGTGAAGCCCGGGTCCCCAGAGGGCAGCCCCGGGCGCAAAGCGAGCGCCCCGCGCACCCGTCATGCGCGATCGCCGCGGGGCCCGGCGCGCGTCCAAGCCGCGGCCGCTCGGTGCGTGCAAGTTGGCAGTGCTTCCCGCATCCCACGCCGCCACGCGCAGTCTGCTGACGTGGCGGGGGCCGATCTCTGGTGCTCTGTCCAAGCTTAGCTGGTTGTGGAGTGCGTCAGCCTCTCGCCGCCCTTCTCCTCCTGCTCGCCCGCAAACCACGTTTCGTGGCAAGCGCAAATGTATCTCAATCGCAGCGGGGCGGCGCGCGTGCGCCCTGGCGGCACGCCCTTGTGCACGCGGCGATGCGGCTGCCTCGCCAGAGCCCCGCGCGACTGCATGTGCGCCTCCAGGCATCCTAACCGACGGGCCCCGCGCCTCGGGCCGCGCCGGTGGCGCTGTGCTGCTGCTGCGGGCGTGCTGACGCCGGCGCCGAGGGCGCCGATGTTGATGCCGATGCTTGATGCGTGTTGGAAGCGGCGTGCGCAGTCGATCCCGCGTGCGCTGTCGACGGCGACCCGGGGCGCGACCGCTGGCGCCATCTCGTAGATCATCAGAACAGGTTGGCCCTTGGAAACCCTGCAAACAAGAAAGAGGTGGGGGTTGAATACGAATAACTACGATGGGCTTTAAGCATTAAGTGCCAAAAATCCAGGCACCTGATCACAAAGTTGGACAGTGATCAGGCCCCTGCCGCGCTTCCCAGCAGCACACGCCGTCCCACTCGCCCGCACGCACGCCCGCGCCGCACTTGCGGTCCGCGGACCACCTCCCACCCCTTCCCCCCTGCCCGGCCAGGGTGCGGGGCCCTGGCCCACGATATCCGCCAGGCTGTCACGGAAACCGATTCGGCCGGAGCTCGTGGCGCGATGCGTGCTCGCTCCTGTCTTCGCAAGCCATAATTGTGGACCGTGCACACACACACACACACACACTCTCTCTCTCTCTCTCTCGCGCTCTCATCCTCTCTCTCTCCCCCCTTACCGTAGCAGTAAGAGTGCGTCGCCAGCTCCCTCGACGTCGCGTTGGCCAGCAGGCACGATGACCCCACCGGTGCGCCCGACGCGGTGCTCCAGCACTGGCTGAAGAAGCAGTCGTACGAACACACGTGGCCGGCGGCCGTGAGCGCCTCGGCGGCGCCGACGTCAAGCATCGGCAGGCGGTCGGTCTTGGCCCAGGCCGCGGACTGGACTGGCATGTACTCGCCGTCCACCACGATGGAGCCGTAGCCGGGGGCGTAGCTGCACAGACGATTGTGTGTGTTGTGTGTGTGTTGTGTATGTTGTGTATGTTGTGTGTTTTGTGTGTTTTGTGTGTGTGTGTGTGCTGTGTGTGTCGTGTGTGCTGTGTGTGTTGTGTGTCCTGTGCGTGCTGTGTGTGTGTGTGTGTGTGTGTGTGTGTGTGTGTGTGTGTGTGCTTCTGTGTGTGCGTGTGGGTATGCCTTGTTCAGGTTTGGGCCAGGGGACGAGGAGGTGAAGAGGAGTTTAGGTGAAATTTGTGTAGCACATTCGCCACGTCGCACGCAGCCCACACCCATAAAACAACCGCAGCGTCTGCCTCTGCGCCAGCCTCTGCCCCAGCCTCTGCCCCAGCTTCCGCGCTTGCCGGATTGCCACTACTAGGCTCGCAACCCACCCAGTCCACGTGGTCTGTTTCGGCGCCAGCCCCGCGTCGGTGCGGACCGTCGTCGTCGCGCACGCGGGCATGCCGCGCGGCCCGTCGCCGCCGGCGCAGGGCAGCAGGGTGATCGCGTCGTTTATGAATGTGAAGCGGCGCGAGTTGACCAGCGAGCCGTGGGAGCGCGCAAACGCGGTGTTGCCGACTGCGGGGGGCAGGACGTAAGTTGGGTAGACGGTGACGCGCGGCAGCCGGGGGGCGGAGGCTTGGAATCGGGCGTAAAGCAGGGTTCCGCTGAGGGGGCCGCGCTGCGCGTGCTCCACCTTGGGATGCAACTCGAGACAGACAGATCCAGGCCTCAAAACACCCCCACTCACACCCTGCCCTCAACCCGCGCTCTGCCGCACGTCTTGGCCTCCGGTTCCCCGGCCGAAGCCCCTCCTCCCTGGCCCTGCACACAAACATCCATCAACGCCCCTTCACAAAGCCCCAGTCACACCCAACCCACCATTGGGGCACGCCGCCATCAGCGCACTGACTACCAGCCCCGGCCGGTTCGCATCCAGGAAGCGCTGCGCCGCATAAGACGCCAGCGTCGCCGCAGCCGCGCCCATGGAGTGGCCGGCAAACATGACGTGGCGGATCCTGGGGCCGGACAGCACCTCGTTTTCGAGCGCCAGGCGGACGTGCGGCCACATTTGGTTGAAGACGGCCGTGAACCCGGCTGGGGGGAGGCGGGGCGGGACAGGGCGGGGCGCGGAGGTTAGCCAGGAGGGGCGGCTCAGGGCGGCCGCGGCGGGCGGCCGCCGGGGGCGGATGGCGGAGGCGGGAAGGCCCTGTGCTTGCGCGTATGGGCGGCCGTGGCGCCCGCGCAGATGGCGGCCGATGGTATGCTTTTGGCATTGCTAAACCTGCTGACCGTGCGTCTCGCCCTCGAAGTAGTTGCCGGCGAAAGGGGGTCCAGGGAACCTCGAG